GTCAGTTCTGACATGTTTGCTTGTCTTGGTTAAGTGTGATGTCATGTGGTTGCCATTTGTGACCTCCTGCTGGCTTGTTGTGGCCTGCTGGCGGCCTGCAGAGCTGGCAACAGAATTGGAGAGTGAGGAGGTTTGGGAGGAATGTGTTGTGAGCTGGTGAGGCAGCTTCTATTCTTTGGTTTTAATCATAGGATCCATTCATGCTAACCATTGTCTTTCTTCTCGGCAAAACAAAGGATGACAGTGGCCCATTATTTTTCTAAGGATGACCAAGTGGATCCAGAAGCACTGGAGAGAAAAAAGATGATGCCTATTAGCACTCTTCTGACCCTCCTATTTAATTAATTAATGTTATAATGATTAAAATTGGGTATGACCTGGAGCTTAGTGGACAACAAGGGAAACAGTGACAAAAACATTATAGTAACATTATAGTAGAAACCATTCTATGGTTGCCTATTCTATGGTAAGAGAATGAAAACAGTCTCATTTCCTAAATGAATCATATGGTGTGTTTTTTTCAGAGTTTCCTTATCCTGTTTACTACTTTCACCAATTCCCTTGTCATCTGGTGATAGACGCTGGGATTGTCAATTAGAAGGTCAGCAGTTCAGCGGTTTGAATCCCTAGTGCCGTGTAACAGAGTGAGCTCTCGTTACTTGTCCCAGCTTCTGCCAACCTAGCAGTTNCCCCATCCAATCAGCATTATAAAAATAAGAAAAAAGATTTAAATCCATAGGTATTAAAAAAAATATAAAAAGTTGTAGAAGAAAAACTAATCCGTCAATTAAAGAATAGGAAACATTTGCAAAAGTTCCATCCGTAAAAGAAAATTTATAAAAAGGATAACACATTGTCTAATGTAGCTTAATTTCGCTGCTTGTTCTCTTCTGTTTTCAAATTTAATTTAGCTTTAATTTGGGGGGGGGGTAGTCTCTTTTATAATAATAAGATTTCCTCACCAGATGGACACACTTTCTATTTCCGTTTTCCTCCCATTCCAGAGCTGTCCCAGGAAAAGGAGATTTTCCTAGATCAATCAGGGACATTGCGGTGTCCCTGAGATCAGCAGGATGTGCTCTTCCCTGTCACTGTCTCTTTGGGATGGTTTAGATCCAAAAGGACCATCCAGGGGCAAAAGTATCGACTGCGATCTTGGAGCTGCAAGATTGCACGTTGTGTCATTGTTCCTCCCAGCAATGTTTTTATCTTCAAGACAAAAATACCTTTATTCTGCCTCTCTCTCTCCTCCCTCCCCCTCTCTTTTTCTAATAAGAACATAAATTAATTAGATGCACTGTTCAGAAATTCACTTTCCACATTGCATCTTCATTGTTTGCTAAATAAATAGTTCCTTTGCTATAACAACAATATATTATGTCTCAAGTAAATGAAGTGGCAAAACAAAGCATAGCTATAGCAATAGTATTTAGATTTATATGCCACTCCATAGTGTTTTACAGCTGTGTCTGAGCAGTTTACAATATCAGCATGTTGCCCCCAACAATCTGGGTCCTCATGAGTGAAGGTCTGGATTTCTTTGAGATTTTAAAGGATGAAAACCCAGATTCCATTTGTGTATTAAATAATGGTGTTGGTAGTTTCAGTCTTTTAATAATCTAATCTGTTTAAAAACTTTTAGCTAATGCAGTCAGAGTTGAAATTATATAACACTCACCACACCTGAGTCCTGTTTGATGATTATTCTTTACCAGTATTGATCATGATGGTGAATACAGAGTGAATGAAGTTCTCTTGTTTTAATAATAACAATAATACTTTAAACATTAAAATAAATAATAATTTAGTAATACCTCAGTTATTACATTGTAATCTATTTGTATTCCTATTGTACGGTCAGCAAATATATAGATATATATTTCTAAATTTGGAACTATCCAGTTAATGCAGGATTAATTTATGTGGTATGAGAACTGTTGATACAATTTTCCAGGTAATTGCATCTTTAAAAGTCATGCTAATCTTGGAATGACAAAACATGTCAAAGATTATTTCAATTGTACTCAAGTCAAGTACAAGATAATTCCAGTTTACTTTTCCTGAAAAGCCCACATTCTTTACTTGAACTCTTGTTGAACTGTGGAATGGTTATGGAATATTTTTACCCTTATGTATCATCATCTCTTCCCTTCAGTTCTGAACTTTCAGGACAGTTGCAGCAAGTTATGAAAAACTGGTAGCAGCTGCACATGCTACTGCATCACAGTTAATATTTGGATAATCTGCAGGCTTTTCAAAAACTTAACCACTGCCATATTAGAAGGCATGATTTTGTTTGTTGGTCATCAACATACATACATACATACATACATACATACCAGGGCTGGGTTTCNGGCACACAGTCAGTACCTCAGCCACACAGGATGTTACGAAACAGCCGACTAATCTGCATACATCAACTCTATCAACTAATCGAGATGTAAGAACACAGCCAACCAACCCGCTTACAGCAACAAAGCCAGCACTCCACACACCCCCACCAATATTTATAGAAAAACAGCAGCTCCGTCTTTCTATAAATATACATATGTATATTCTATACATATACATACTTTATATACATATATACAAACAGAACTATATACAGTTCAATGTAACCTTATATACCCAACACCTTAACCAGTGGCTTACTAAACTAATCCAATTACCTGCATTTGCACAAAGCCTTGAAATGTACACAGGATTCACACAATCGCATCCTAACCAACCAACCAACCAACCAACCAACCAACCACACTGCAGATTAGCAGTTTGTGTAACAGGCTGTGTGTTTCGACCTGTTCATGCCGATTAAGTTTGTCCTAATTGCGTCTCAAGATGCCGGAAACCACAATGTGTATCGAATCAAGCCGTTGCGATCCACTTTAATGACGGTTGTAGTTCCGTTGCCTTCCACCTACAGCCTTCGCCGTTACTTACTGGAACACAACTCAGTTACCATAGTAGCCAATGAGCCGCACTCGCTACAGACACTCTCCCAGCACAGAGCTGTATCAATCTTCTAGAGCCTCTGAGATCCCCCCCCCCACCCGTTTCCCGCGTTCTGCTTTGAAAAGGGAGAACAGCCTAACTAACACCCGTTTCCCCGGATGACCGCCTACTTATCAAACCACGGACTCGCTTCTTCTTCCCCCACAACCGCTGCAAAGAGTTCTAGGAAATGCCGACTCCCGCCTAACTCGACCCGTGTGCTTGCCGGTACTGACGAAACAGGAAATACCGGGCTTCCCTCCGGGAATGATGCCTGGAACTGGAGGTATCGGGCTGTTGCGTGATGGTGCTTCTGGAGAGGGAAACCGGTTACCCAAATGTTGTGTGTTTGAATTATTCTTGCATAACCCGGATTTCGGCAATTGCTAAACCGTAGGCGAGTTTCATCCTTCTTACCACCTACCGGCGATGCGTTGCTAAATTGCTATTGTACTTAATTGACCGGAGCAAGATCGGGTTTCAGAAGAGCCCGTGAGGACTGGCTGATCCAGAGAAAAAGCTCGCCTTTATTGCGCCTCTCCCCTCCCCCCAAGGAGAGGCGGGAGATGAAGGCGATAGCCAGCTAAACGCTGGCCCTTTACACAGACGATTCTTGGAAATTATTGCGAATGTCATTAGCCCCTTCAAAAGAGAAAGATAAGAGAACACAACCATCGTTTTCTCTCTTACAGCCTCTAATATTGCCCAGTTTGTTGAATTTCCGTAACGCTAAGTGAAGCTGCTGGTGGCACTGCCATCTCGCTGCCTGTGAACATTATGTGTACCCAAGATCCGTTATTTCACCCTCTCACCCTTTTTTCCCCAAACCAGAAAGCCTCAAACTGCTATCTCAGTGGGTCTCAACCTTCCTTTAATACTGTTCCTCAGGTTGTGGTGATCCCCAACCATGAGATTAAAATGTGTGTTTTCCAATGGCCTTAGGCAACCCCTGTGAAAGGGTCGTTCAACCCCCCAAAGGGGGCCCGACCCACAAGTTGAGAACCACTGTGCTATCTCTTGCAACTTCTATAGGATCTCCTTTCATTCACCACCACCCCCAAAAAAATCTTCCACGTAAAAACAAATTTTTTATCATGCCCTCAGTTTGTCCAGTCCCCTCTTCAGGGTTGTTTCTCACAAACCATTTTTCCTGTGACCTTTAGCCTAATGAAAATGACACACCGAAAACTATTAGTAGGAATGAGCGGATGGCTTGGCGAACACTAGGAAAAGTACCTTTTACTATTTGAAAATTGTTAAATACACCACATGTTCTGCACAAGATGTCAAATAGTCTTTTATTGCAGTTTTTCATTTCCAGTCAGCATTGTACACCGAAATCCAGTATATTAAGCACAGCTATATTAGAGATATCAATAGTTAAGACATTATGATTATAAACAGTTTTGTTTCAGTTGTAATTTTTTTTCTTGCTCAAAGTTTGCAGTATACAAGTACCTTTAGCTCTTTAACAAGGGATACATATCTTAAGTTGTCAATTCTCCAATGTTATGAAATTCCTTGGTTTATGATCCAAGTCTTGATTTGTTACTGAAGCTGAATCCAACTGATCTGCTGCAATTCTGTCATGGTAATTTCACACAACAAATGTCTACACAATGTTAAAATGTTAGCCTGCTAACAGTAATGTAAAGCTGAGGTCCTTTAATGTGGCAACGTGTTCTCTGTAGCCTTCTGAGAGCCAGACTGTAGGCTGATGGATCTATCAGTCTGGACCCTCTTCTCATCTATGATTATAAGGGGCAAAGTCCATGTTCCACTGTTTTTAAAAAAAAATCGAGTGTTTCAGGAAAAAAAGTATGATTAAAACCAGGCATAGAAATCTTAAATAATCTTTATAGTTTGTGTGGAGCAAAGATTTTCCTTCCCCAGGGACTTTGCAAGTTGGAAATGATGATATTGTCGCTATGGAATAGGACTCCTGACATTTTCCCATTCAATTTTCCTGAACACCCAGAGGACAAGGCAACACTTTTAAAAAAGAAAAAAAAAGTGGCTTGAGAGAGATCTTGCCTGTGTGCTAAGGACAGTTTTATGGGAAATGTAATATAGAACGCTTGCATGCCATTTGGAATGCAAAAAGTGAAATTGTACACAAGTGTTAAGAATGACACTTGCTAGGACAGATTGCACCCATAAGGCAAAGAATCATCCATTCCTGGAACACCAAACAGTTCTATACATACACACATGTTTGTGTCCTAAAGCCCACTTCCTGACAAGGGTGTGAAAATCTTACAGCAGTACATTAAGTGCAGGAGGGCTTTGACAACAACTGCCTCTTTAGGTGGCATTAATGCTTAAAAAATGTGCAAGACAATTTTTAAAGGGGTTTCCGGAGAAGTTGATTCTATTCAATAACTGCTTTCTAGAACTACTTAGTAGTGAAAAATCTGCTATAGATAACACAGCTTCTGCAGATGCTTAAAAGGCTCACAGACTGACCCTTTTACACCAATCTATAAAGCTTTTCTGACTCATTAAAAAGGATAGTTTCTGAACATAATTAAAATTGCATTTTTATCACTGAGTTTCCTTGCTCTAATTCATTCAATATTATTTTTTTTTTAAAAGAAAACTACAATTACTATCCTTGCTCTAATTCATTCAGTATTATTTTTTTTAAAAAGAAGACTATTACTATCCTATGGCTATTTGGATTTGCCAAGTGCTTGTTTGTAGGGCAAATTATATTATTTCAAGAAACTAAAGTACGTTCAAAACCAAACAAAATTATCACAGTTTAGCCTGCAATGGCTTCAGGTGTTTGTGGAAAGATTCATGGACCTAGAGGACAGAAAAAAAGAGGACATTAATTTTAAGAACATACCACATCTCGCTTCTTACTAGGACAATACATTTCCCAATAATCACACACTGGACTGTTGCTTTAATGATTTCAGCTATATAAGTGGAATTGTCATTAAGAATAACACCATATATAGTGGACAATAATAACATCAAATCAATTTCTATTAAGAGAGTAAGAAAAATGTCCAGCATTCTCTAGTATTTTGGCAGAAAATAAGCTGTTTTCATCATTAGCAAAAAACATAGCAATTTTATTGACATTATTGGACGATCAGTTTATGAAGTTGTAGATCAGTATAACCATATGTTCTCTAACTGTTCTTTGCCATTATTTTCAATATGGCAGTCCTGGCTTCTGTAAACTAATTCCCCATTAGATCTAAATAAGTTACAACAAGAATTTATCCTAAGGAAAGAGCACAGAATTATAATATATATATCTGTTACTTCACAAAATAATAGTTTGTGAATCTGCAGATGATCATTCGTGTACATCTGCGGTTCATAAACTATGTTTGTGAACTGATTTTTAAATCTGCATTTTAAAAATATTAATCACTTTTTATTTTATTGAAAGTCAAGATAATCCTTGATTTAAGACAGCAATTGAGATTGAAATTTCTGGCATGAAGCAATACAACTACATTGTTTAGTGATGGCGAATTCCTATAGTCCTGTTATTGTGGTTAACCAAACTTCATTGGTTGTTAGGCAAGGCAATTGCCTCCTAGTTTCCCACAGCCAAGTCTGTGGGGAAACCAGCAAGAAATTTCAAGTCCCAGATGGCTTACAAGCAACCTGATAGACAGGTAAGTGGATGCTGCTGGGTGGAAGAGAGTGTGAGGGATGGGGGACTAGGCTTGGAGAGGATTCATGAAGGGTATGAATGTCAGGGCACAGGTGTTGCAGCTCAGAGAAGGTGTATAGGAGCAGCCCGTGTGGAGACAGAGAAGCTGAAGGAGATTATATGAGTGGTCAGACTTACCCAGTGACTTGCAACCTTCCCTGCTGGTTTCCCCATTGACTTTCTGAGGATGCTGCCAGGGAAGGTTGACAATCATGTGACCACGGGAGTCCATGCAACTTGGGAGTCCTCCTGGACCCACAGCTGACCTTTGATCACCACCTGTCGGCTGTGACCAGGGGGGCATTTGCCCAGGTT